CTCCGGGAGATGCCAGCGCCTCTTTTGCTCTCAACTTTGATGGACTTCCTGCATATAAGCCAGGTCCCTAAAATGCCATTGGTAATTGCTATTGGGCTACAAAAGGTGACTGAAGGCTGTGAAAAGGGAGATGCGTGAGAAATTGTCATTGTGACAGTGAATTTTTAGTCCTCTCAGCTGTACTTATCATCAAACCCCACATGGTTGACACAGTGCTCCAAACATTGTGAGGTTGCCTGAGTATTGGACTGGGCACAGTCTGATTGTTTACTCCTAGCAAGCTCAGAGCGACAGACAATATTTCTGACTTGGCTGAAGCGATGACTACCATTTATCCACTTGATTGAAGCGATTACATTTACACTTGATTGCTCCTGGCATTTCATGGACTTCCTGCATATAAGCCAGGTCCCTAAAATGCCATTGGTAATTGCTATTGGGCTACAAAAGGTGACCTGAAGGCCTGTGAAAAGGGAGATGCGTGAGGACTTAGCATTCAAGCGGACATGTCCGCCAAAAGAGATTATCCTCAGCAGAAGGAGAACCACCACTTGTTTCCGCCCGGTCTCGAACCGGGGACCTTTCGCGTGTGAGGCAAACGTGATAACCACTACACTACGGAAACTGACGAAAGGCTTCTTGAGGTCATTCGTCACGCGGAAGACCGGGGTTCGATTCCCCGACGGGGAGAAATATTCTTTCTACCAGCAGTCCCATTACTTGCCACCTAAGGAAGGTGCTTCACGCTATCCCTACTCTCTAGCTGAGGTGAGGTGAGGAAAAGTTAACTCTCTGTACCTCGAAGGAGGAAAAATTAAGGAAATGGGCCAAGGAGAGAAATTCATACATGGTAGATAAAAGAAAATGAGAAATTGGCATTGTGACAGTGAATATTTTTAGTCCCTCTCAGCTGTACTTATCATCAAACCCCACACCATGGTTGACACAGTGCTCCAAACATTGTGAGGTTGCCTGAGTATCGATTCCCAGACGGGGAGAAATATTCTTTCTACCAACAGTCCCATTACTTGCACCTAAGGAAGGTGCTTCACGCTAGCCCTACTCTCTAGCTGAGGTGAGGAAAAGTTAACTCTCTGTACCTCGAAGGAGGAAAAATTAAGGAAACGGGCCAAGGAGAGAAATTCATACATGGTAGATAAAAGAAAATGAGAAATTGGCATTGTGACAGTGAATTTTTTAGTCCCTCTCAGCTGTACTTATCATCAAACCCCACACCATGGTTGACACAGTGCTCCAAACATTGTGAGGTTGCCTGAGTATTGGACTGGGCACAGTCTGATTGTTATACTCCTAGCAAGCTCAGAGCGACAGACAATATTTCTGGACCTCGACACGAGCTTTGAAGGACATCCTGGCTATGACTACCGTTTCCGTGTGCTGGTCATCTATAACAGTGTGACTAGCTACTCGAGACACCAGCATGGAGTTGGGGTGGAGCGATTACATTTACCACTTGATTGCTCCCTGCCGCAATAAGCAGATATGTTCTGAGAGATTAACACAAAGCTATGTAGTCGTCAGATGAGAGCATAGGTTCCAGGTTTGCCTCCGGGAGATGCCCAGCACCTCTTTTGCTCTCAACTTTGATGGACTTCCTGCATATAAGCCAGGTCCCCTAAAATGCCATTGGTAATTGCTATTGGGCTACAAAAGGTGACCTGAAGGCCTGTGAAAAGGGAGATGCGTGAGGACTTAGCATTCAAGCGGACATGTCCGCCAAAGGAGATTATCCTCAGCAGAAAGACAACCACCACTTGTTTCCGCCCGGTCTCGAACTGGGGACCTTTCGCGTGTGAGGCGAACGTGATAACCACTACACTACGGAAACTGACAAAAGGCTTTTCGTGGTCAATCGTCAGGTAGTCGACCCGACCCGAAGTTGGACAGGCTTTCCTCAGGTTCAGACCATCAGCCCGTTCACAACCCAAAAGTGACACCACAGAAGTCCTCAATAGTATAGTGGACAGTATCTCCGCCTGTCACGCGGAAGACCGGGGCTCGATTACCCGACGGGGAGAAATATTCTTTCTACCAGCAGTCCCATTACTTGCCACCTAAGGAAGGTGCTTCACGCTAGCCCTACTCTCTAGCTGAGGTGAGGTGAGGAAAAGTTAACTCTCTGTACCTCGAAGGAGGAAAAATTAAGGAAATGGGCCAAGGAGAGAAATTCATACATGGTAGATAAAAGAAAATGAGAAATTGGCATTGTGACAGTGAATTTTTTAGTCCCTCTCAGCTGTACTTATCATCAAACCCCACACCATGGTTGACACAGTGCTCCAAACATTGTGAGGTTGCCTGAGTATTGGACTGGGCACAGTCTGATTGTTATACTCCTAGCAAGCTCAGAGCGACAGACAATATTTCTGGACCTCGACACGAGCTTTGAAGGACATCCTGGCTATGACTACCGTTTCTGTGTGCTGGTCATCTATAACAGTGTGACTAGCTACTCGAGACACCAGCTTGGAGTTGGGGTGGAGCGATTACATTTACCACTTGATTGATTCCTGCCGCAATAAGCAGATATGTTCTGAGAGATTAACACAAAGCTATGTAGTCGTCAGATGAGAGCATAGGTTCCAGGTTTGCCTCCGGGAGATGCCCAGCGCCTCTTTTGCTCTCAACTTTGATGGACTTCCTGCATATAAGCCAGGTCCCCTAAAATGCCATTGGTAATTGCTATTGGGCTACAAAAGGTGACCTGAAGGCCTGTGAAAAGGGAGATGCGTGAGAAATTGTCATTGTGACAGTGAATTTTTTAGTCCCTCTCAGCTGTACTTATCATCAAACCCCACACCATGGTTGACACAGTGCTCCAAACATTGTGAGGTTGCTGAGTATTGGACTGGGCACAGTCTGATTGTTATACTCCTAGCAAGCTCAGAGCGACAGACAATATTTCTGGACCTTGACACGAGCTTTGAAGGACATCCTGGCTATGACTACCGATTCTGTGTGCTGGTCATCTATAACAGTGTGACTAGCTACTCGAGACACCAGCATGGAGTTGGGGTGAAGCGATTACATTTACCACTTGATTGCTCCTGGCACTTTCATGGACTTCCTGCATATAAGCCAGGTCCCCTAAAATGCCATTGGTAATTGCTATTGGGCTACAAAAGGTGACCTGAAGGCCTGTGAAAAGGGAGATGCGTGAGGACTTAGCATTCAAGCGGACATGTCCGCCAAAAGAGATTATCCTCAGCAGAAAGAGAACCACCACTTGTTTCCGCCCGGTCTCGAACCGGGGACCTTTCGCGTGTGAGGCGAACGTGATAACCACTACACTACGGAAACTGACGAAAGGCTTCTTGAGGTCATTCGTCACGCGGAAGACCGGGGTTCGATTCCCGACGGGGAGAAATATTCTTTCTACCAGCAGTCCCATTACTTGCCACCTAAGGAAGGTGCTTCACGCTATCCCTACTCTCTAGCTGAGGTGAGGTGAGGAAAAGTTAACTCTCTGTACCTCGAAGGAGGAAAAATTAAGGAAATGGGCCAAGGAGAGAAATTCATACATGGTAGATAAAAGAAAATGAGAAATTGGCATTGTGACAGTGAATATTTTAGTCCCTCTCAGCTGTACTTATCATCAAACCCCACACCATGGTTGACACAGTGCTCCAAACATTGTGAGGTTGCCTGAGTATCGATTCCCAGACGGGGAGAAATATTCTTTCTACCAACAGTCCCATTACTTGCCACCTAAGGAAGGTGCTTCACGCTAGCCCTACTCTCTAGCTGAGGTGAGGAAAAGTTAACTCTCTGTACCTCGAAGGAGGAAAAATTAAGGAAACGGGCCAAGGAGAGAAATTCATACATGGTAGATAAAAGAAAATGAGAAATTGGCATTGTGACAGTGAATTTTTTAGTCCCTCTCAGCTGTACTTATCATCAAACCCCACACCATGGTTGACACAGTGCTCCAAACATTGTGAGGTTGCCTGAGTATTGGACTGGGCACAGTCTGATTGTTATACTCCTAGCAAGCTCAGAGCGACAGACAATATTTCTGGACCTCGACACGAGCTTTGAAGGACATCCTGGCTATGACTACCGTTTCTGTGTGCTGGTCATCTATAACAGTGTGACTAGCTACTCGAGACACCAGCATGGAGTTGGGGTGGAGCGATTACATTTACCACTTGATTGCTCCCTGCCGCAATAAGCAGATATGTTCTGAGAGATTAACACAAAGCTATGTAGTCGTCAGATGAGAGCATAGGTTCCAGGTTTGCCTCCGGGAGATGCCCAGCGCCTCTTTTGCTCTCAACTTTGATGGACTTCCTGCATATAAGCCAGGTCCCCTAAAATGCCATTGGTAATTGCTATTGGGCTACAAAAGGTGACCTGAAGGCCTGTGAAAAGGGAGATGCGTGAGAAATTGTCATTGTGACAGTGAATTTTTTAGTCCCTCTCAGCTGTACTTATCATCAAACCCCACACCATGGTTGACACAGTGCTCCAAACATTGTGAGGTTGCCTGAGTATTGGACTGGGCACAGTCTGATTGTTATACTCCTAGCAAGCTCAGAGCGACAGACAATATTTCTGGACCTCGACACGAGCTTTGAAGGACATCCTGGCTATGACTACCGTTTCTGTGTGCTGGTCATCTATAACAGTGTGACTAGCTACTCGAGACACCAGCATGGAGTTGGGGTGGAGCGATTACATTTACCACTTGATTGCTCCCTGCCGCAATAAGCAGATATGTTCTGAGAGATTAACACAAAGCTATGTAGTCGTCAGATGAGAGCATAGGTTCCAGGTTTGCCTCCGGGAGATGCCCAGCGCCTCTTTTGCTCTCAACTTTGATGGACTTCCTGCATATAAGCCAGGTCCCCTAAAATGCCATTGGTAATTGCTATTGGGCTACAAAAGGTGACCTGAAGGCCTGTGAAAAGGGAGATGCGTGAGGACTTAGCATTCAAGCGGACATGTCCGCCAAAGGAGATTATCCTCAGCAGAAAGACAACCACCACTTGTTTCCGCCCGGTCTCGAACCGGGGACCTTTCGCGTGTGAGGCGAACGTGATAACCACTACACTACGGAAACTGACAAAAGGCTTTTCGTGGTCAATCGTCAGGTAGTCGACCCGACCCGAAGTTGGACAGGCTTTCCTCAGGTTCAGACCATCAGCCCGTTCACAACCCAAAAGTGACACCACAGAAGTCCTCGTTAGTATAGTGGACAGTATCTCCGCCTGTCACGCGGAAGACCGGGGAGAAATATTCTTTCTACCAGCAGTCCCATTACTTGCCACCTAAGGAAGGTGCTTCACGCTAGCCCTACTCTCTAGCTGAGGTGAGGTGAGGAAAAGTTAACTCTCTGTACCTCGAAGGAGGAAAAATTAAGGAAATGGGCCAAGGAGAGAAATTCATACATGGTAGATAAAAGAAAATGAGAAATTGGCATTGTGACAGTGAATTTTTTAGTCCCTCTCAGCTGTACTTATCATCAAACCCCACACCATGGTTGACACAGTGCTCCAAACATTGTGAGGTTGCCTGAGTATTGGACTGGGCACAGTCTGATTGTTATACTCCTAGCAAGCTCAGAGCGACAGACAATATTTCTGGACCTCGACACGAGCTTTGAAGGACATCCTGGCTATGACTACCGTTTCTGTGTGCTGGTCATCTATAACAGTGTGACTAGCTACTCGAGACACCAGCTTGGAGTTGGGGTGGAGCGATTACATTTACCACTTGATTGATTCCTGCCGCAATAAGCAGATATGTTCTGAGAGATTAACACAAAGCTATGTAGTCGTCAGATGAGAGCATAGGTTCCAGGTTTGCCTCCGGGAGATGCCCAGCGCCTCTTTTGCTCTCAACTTTGATGGACTTCCTGCATATAAGCCAGGTCCCCTAAAATGCCATTGGTAATTGCTATTGGGCTACAAAAGGTGACCTGAAGGCCTGTGAAAAGGGAGATGCGTGAGAAATTGTCATTGTGACAGTGAATTTTTTAGTCCCTCTCAGCTGTACTTATCATCAAACCCCACACCATGGTTGACACAGTGCTCCAAACATTGTGAGGTTGCCTGAGTATTGGACTGGGCACAGTCTGATTGTTATACTCCTAGCAAGCTCAGAGCGACAGACAATATTTCTGGACCTTGACACGAGCTTTGAAGGACATCCTGGCTATGACTACCGATTCTGTGTGCTGGTCATCTATAACAGTGTGACTAGCTACTCGAGACACCAGCATGGAGTTGGGGTGAAGCGATTACATTTACCACTTGATTGCTCCCTGGCACTTTCATGGACTTCCTGCATATAAGCCAGGTCCCCTAAAATGCCATTGGTAATTGCTATTGGGCTACAAAAGGTGACCTGAAGGCCTGTGAAAAGGGAGATGCGTGAGGACTTAGCATTCAAGCGGACATGTCCGCCAAAAGAGATTATCCTCAGCAGAAAGAGAACCACCACTTGTTTCCGCCCGGTCTCGAACCGGGGACCTTTCGCGTGTGAGGCGAACGTGATAACCACTACACTACGGAAACTGACGAAAGGCTTCTTGAGGTCATTCGTCACGCGGAAGACCGGGGTTCGATTCCCCGACGGGGAGAAATATTCTTTCTACCAGCAGTCCCATTACTTGCCACCTAAGGAAGGTGCTTCACGCTATCCCTACTCTCTAGCTGAGGTGAGGTGAGGAAAAGTTAACTCTCTGTACCTCGAAGGAGGAAAAATTAAGGAAATGGGCCAAGGAGAGAAATTCATACATGGTAGATAAAAGAAAATGAGAAATTGGCATTGTGACAGTGAATATTTTAGTCCCTCTCAGCTGTACTTATCATCAAACCCCACACCATGGTTGACACAGTGCTCCAAACATTGTGAGGTTGCCTGAGTATCGATTCCCAGACGGGGAGAAATATTCTTTCTACCAACAGTCCCATTACTTGCCACCTAAGGAAGGTGCTTCACGCTAGCCCTACTCTCTAGCTGAGGTGAGGAAAAGTTAACTCTCTGTACCTCGAAGGAGGAAAAATTAAGGAAACGGGCCAAGGAGAGAAATTCATACATGGTAGATAAAAGAAAATGAGAAATTGGCATTGTGACAGTGAATTTTTTAGTCCCTCTCAGCTGTACTTATCATCAAACCCCACACCATGGTTGACACAGTGCTCCAAACATTGTGAGGTTGCCTGAGTATTGGACTGGGCACAGTCTGATTGTTATACTCCTAGCAAGCTCAGAGCGACAGACAATATTTCTGGACCTCGACACGAGCTTTGAAGGACATCCTGGCTATGACTACCGTTTCTGTGTGCTGGTCATCTATAACAGTGTGACTAGCTACTCGAGACACCAGCATGGAGTTGGGGTGGAGCGATTACATTTACCACTTGATTGCTCCCTGCCGCAATAAGCAGATATGTTCTGAGAGATTAACACAAAGCTATGTAGTCGTCAGATGAGAGCATAGGTTCCAGGTTTGCCTCCGGGAGATGCCCAGCGCCTCTTTTGCTCTCAACTTTGATGGACTTCCTGCATATAAGCCAGGTCCCCTAAAATGCCATTGGTAATTGCTATTGGGCTACAAAAGGTGACCTGAAGGCCTGTGAAAAGGGAGATGCGTGAGAAATTGTCATTGTGACAGTGAATTTTTTAGTCCCTCTCAGCTGTACTTATCATCAAACCCCACACCATGGTTGACACAGTGCTCCAAACATTGTGAGGTTGCCTGAGTATTGGACTGGGCACAGTCTGATTGTTATACTCCTAGCAAGCTCAGAGCGACAGACAATATTTCTGGACCTCGACACGAGCTTTGAAGGACATCCTGGCTATGACTACCGTTTCTGTGTGCTGGTCATCTATAACAGTGTGACTAGCTACTCGAGACACCAGCATGGAGTTGGGGTGGAGCGATTACATTTACCACTTGATTGCTCCTGCCGCAATAAGCAGATATGTTCTGAGAGATTAACACAAAGCTATGTAGTCGTCAGATGAGAGCATAGGTTCCAGGTTTGCCTCCGGGAGATGCCCAGCGCCTCTTTTGCTCTCAACTTTGATGGACTTCCTGCATATAAGCCAGGTCCCCTAAAATGCCATTGGTAATTGCTATTGGGCTACAAAAGGTGACCTGAAGGCCTGTGAAAAGGGAGATGCGTGAGGACTTAGCATTCAAGCGGACATGTCCGCCAAAGGAGATTATCCTCAGCAGAAAGACAACCACCACTTGTTTCCGCCCGGTCTCGAACGGGGACCTTTCGCGTGTGAGGCGAACGTGATAACCACTACACTACGGAAACTGACAAAAGGCTTTTCGTGGTCAATCGTCAGGTAGTCGACCCGACCCGAAGTTGGACAGGCTTTCCTCAGGTTCAGACCATCAGCCCGTTCACAACCCAAAAGTGACACCACAGAAGTCCTCGTTAGTATAGTGGACAGTATCTCCGCCTGTCACGCGGAAGACCGGGGTTCGATTCCCGACGGGAGAAATATTCTTTCTACCAGCAGTCCCATTACTTGCCACCTAAGGAAGGTGCTTCACGCTAGCCCTACTCTCTAGCTGAGGTGAGGTGAGGAAAAGTTAACTCTCTGTACCTCGAAGGAGGAAAAATTAAGGAAATGGGCCAAGGAGAGAAATTCATACATGGTAGATAAAAGAAAATGAGAAATTGGCATTGTGACAGTGAATTTTTTAGTCCCTCTCAGCTGTACTTATCGTCAAACCCACACCATGGTTGACACAGTGCTCCAAACATTGTGAGGTTGCCTGAGTATTGGACTGGGCACAGTCTGATTGTTATACTCCTAGCAAGCTCAGAGCGACAGACAATATTTCTGGACCTCGACACGAGCTTTGAAGGACATCCTGGCTATGACTACCGTTTCTGTGTGCTGGTCATCTATAACAGTGTGACTAGCTACTCGAGACACCAGCTTGGAGTTGGGGTGGAGCGATTACATTTACCACTTGATTGATTCCTGCCGCAATAAGCAGATATGTTCTGAGAGATTAACACAAAGCTATGTAGTCGTCAGATGAGAGCATAGGTTCCAGGTTTGCCTCCGGGAGATGCCCAGCGCCTCTTTTGCTCTCAACTTTGATGGACTTCCTGCATATAAGCCAGGTCCCCTAAAATGCCATTGGTAATTGCTATTGGGCTACAAAAGGTGACCTGAAGGCCTGTGAAAAGGGAGATGCGTGAGAAATTGTCATTGTGACAGTGAATTTTTTAGTCCCTCTCAGCTGTACTTATCATCAAACCCCACACCATGGTTGACACAGTGCTCCAAACATTGTGAGGTTGCCTGAGTATTGGACTGGGCACAGTCTGATTGTTATACTCCTAGCAAGCTCAGAGCGACAGACAATATTTCTGGACCTTGACACGAGCTTTGAAGGACATCCTGGCTATGACTACCGATTCTGTGTGCTGGTCATCTATAACAGTGTGACTAGCTACTCGAGACACCAGCATGGAGTTGGGGTGAAGCGATTACATTTACCACTTGATTGCTCCCTGGCACTTTCATGGACTTCCTGCATATAAGCCAGGTCCCCTAAAATGCCATTGGTAATTGCTATTGGGCTACAAAAGGTGACCTGAAGGCCTGTGAAAAGGAGATGCGTGAGGACTTAGCATTCAAGCGGACATGTCCGCCAAAAGAGATTATCCTCAGCAGAAAGAGAACCACCACTTGTTTCCGCCCGGTCTCGAACCGGGGACCTTTCGCGTGTGAGGCGAACGTGATAACCACTACACTACGGAAACTGACGAAAGGCTTCTTGAGGTCATTCGTCACGCGGAAGACCGGGGTTCGATTCCCCGACGGGGAGAAATATTCTTTCTACCAGCAGTCCCATTACTTGCCACCTAAGGAAGGTGCTTCACGCTATCCCTACTCTCTAGCTGAGGTGAGGTGAGGAAAAGTTAACTCTCTGTACCTCGAAGGAGGAAAAATTAAGGAAATGGGCCAAGGAGAGAAATTCATACATGGTAGATAAAAGAAAATGAGAAATTGGCATTGTGACAGTGAATATTTTAGTCCCTCTCAGCTGTACTTATCATCAAACCCCACACCATGGTTGACACAGTGCTCCAAACATTGTGAGGTTGCCTGAGTATCGATTCCCAGACGGGGAGAAATATTCTTTCTACCAACAGTCCCATTACTTGCCACCTAAGGAAGGTGCTTCACGCTAGCCCTACTCTCTAGCTGAGGTGAGGAAAAGTTAACTCTCTGTACCTCGAAGGAGGAAAAATTAAGGAAACGGGCCAAGGAGAGAAATTCATACATGGTAGATAAAAGAAAATGAGAAATTGGCATTGTGACAGTGAATTTTTTAGTCCCTCTCAGCTGTACTTATCATCAAACCCCACACCATGGTTGACACAGTGCTCCAAACATTGTGAGGTTGCCTGAGTATTGGACTGGGCACAGTCTGATTGTTATACTCCTAGCAAGCTCAGAGCGACAGACAATATTTCTGGACCTCGACACGAGCTTTGAAGGACATCCTGGCTATGACTACCGTTTCTGTGTGCTGGTCATCTATAACAGTGTGACTAGCTACTCGAGACACCAGCATGGAGTTGGGGTGGAGCGATTACATTTACCACTTGATTGCTCCCTGCCGCAATAAGCAGATATGTTCTGAGAGATTAACACAAAGCTATGTAGTCGTCAGATGAGAGCATAGGTTCCAGGTTTGCCTCCGGGAGATGCCCAGCGCCTCTTTTGCTCTCAACTTTGATGGACTTCCTGCATATAAGCCAGGTCCCCTAAAATGCCATTGGTAATTGCTATTGGGCTACAAAAGGTGACCTGAAGGCCTGTGAAAAGGGAGATGCGTGAGAAATTGTCATTGTGACAGTGAATTTTTTAGTCCCTCTCAGCTGTACTTATCATCAAACCCCACACCATGGTTGACACAGTGCTCCAAACATTGTGAGGTTGCCTGAGTATTGGACTGGGCACAGTCTGATTGTTATACTCCTAGCAAGCTCAGAGCGACAGACAATATTTCTGGACCTCGACACGAGCTTTGAAGGACATCCTGGCTATGACTACCGTTTCTGTGTGCTGGTCATCTATAACAGTGTGACTAGCTACTCGAGACACCAGCATGGAGTTGGGGTGGAGCGATTACATTTACCACTTGATTGCTCCCTGCCGCAATAAGCAGATATGTTCTGAGAGATTAACACAAAGCTATGTAGTCGTCAGATGAGAGCATAGGTTCCAGGTTTGCCTCCGGGAGATGCCCAGCGCCTCTTTTGCTCTCAACTTTGATGGACTTCCTGCATATAAGCCAGGTCCCCTAAAATGCCATTGGTAATTGCTATTGGGCTACAAAAGGTGACCTGAAGGCCTGTGAAAAGGGAGATGCGTGAGGACTTAGCATTCAAGCGGACATGTCCGCCAAAGGAGATTATCCTCAGCAGAAAGACAACCACCACTTGTTCCGCCCGGTCTCGAACCGGGGACCTTTCGCGTGTGAGGCGAACGTGATAACCACTACACTACGGAAACTGACAAAAGGCTTTTCGTGGTCAATCGTCAGGTAGTCGACCCGACCCGAAGTTGGACAGGCTTTCCTCAGGTTCAGACCATCAGCCCGTTCACAACCCAAAAGTGACACCACAGAAGTCCTCAATAGTATAGTGGACAGTATCTCCGCCTGTCACGCGGAAGACCGGGGTTCGATTCCCCGACGGGGAGAAATATTCTTTCTACCAGCAGTCCCATTACTTGCCACCTAAGGAAGGTGCTTCACGCTAGCCCTACTCTCTAGCTGAGGTGAGGTGAGGAAAAGTTAACTCTCTGTACCTCGAAGGAGGAAAAATTAAGGAAATGGGCCAAGGAGAGAATTCATACATGGTAGATAAAAGAAAATGAGAAATTGGCATTGTGACAGTGAATTTTTTAGTCCCTCTCAGCTGTACTTATCATCAAACCCCACACCATGGTTGACACAGTGCTCCAAACATTGTGAGGTTGCCTGAGTATTGGACTGGGCACAGTCTGATTGTTATACTCCTAGCAAGCTCAGAGCGACAGACAATATTTCTGGACCTCGACACGAGCTTTGAAGGACATCCTGGCTATGACTACCGTTTCTGTGTGCTGGTCATCTATAACAGTGTGACTAGCTACTCGAGACACCAGCTTGGAGTTGGGGTGGAGCGATTACATTTACCACTTGATTGATTCCTGCCGCAATAAGCAGATATGTTCTGAGAGATTAACACAAAGCTATGTAGTCGTCAGATGAGAGCATAGGTTCCAGGTTTGCCTCCGGGAGATGCCCAGCGCCTCTTTTGCTCTCAACTTTGATGGACTTCCTGCATATAAGCCAGGTCCCCTAAAATGCCATTGGTAATTGCTATTGGGCTACAAAAGGTGACCTGAAGGCCTGTGAAAAGGGAGATGCGTGAGAAATTGTCATTGTGACAGTGAATTTTTTAGTCCCTCTCAGCTGTACTTATCATCAAACCCCACACCATGGTTGACACAGTGCTCCAAACATTGTGAGGTTGCCTGAGTATTGGACTGGGCACAGTCTGATTGTTATACTCCTAGCAAGCTCAGAGCGACAGACATATTTCTGGACCTTGACACGAGCTTTGAAGGACATCCTGGCTATGACTACCGATTCTGTGTGCTGGTCATCTATAACAGTGTGACTAGCTACTCGAGACACCAGCATGGAGTTGGGGTGAAGCGATTACATTTACCACTTGATTGCTCCCTGGCACTTTCATGGACTTCCTGCATATAAGCCAGGTCCCTAAAATGCCATTGGTAATTGCTATTGGGCCTACAAAAGGTGACCTGAAGGCCTGTGAAAAGGGAGATGCGTGAGGACTTAGCATTCAAGCGGACATGTCCGCCAAAAGAGATTATCCTCAGCAGAAAGAGAACCACCACTTGTTTTCCGCCCGGTCTCGAACCGGGGACCTTTCGCGTGTGAGGCGAACGTGATAACCACTACACTACGGAAACTGACGAAAGGCTTCTTGAGGTCATTCGTCACGCGGAAGACCGGGGTTCGATTCCCGACGGGGAGAAATATTCTTTCTACCAGCAGTCCCATTACTTGCCACCTAAGGAAGGTGCTTCACGCTATCCTACTCTCTAGCTGAGGTGAGGTGAGGAAAAGTTAACTCTCTGTACCTCGAAGGAGGAAAAATTAAGGAAATGGGCCAAGGAGAAAAATTCATACATGGTAGATAAAAGAAAATGAGAAATTGGCATTGTGACAGTGAATATTTTAGTCCCTCTCAGCTGTACTTATCATCAAACCCCACACCATGGTTGACACAGTGCTCCAAACATTGTGAGGTTGCCTGAGTATCGATTCCCAGACGGGGAGAAATATTCTTTCTACAACAGTCCCATTACTTGCCACCTAAGGAAGGTGCTTCACGCTAGCCCTACTCTCTAGCTGAGGTGAGGAAAAGTTAACTCTCTGTACCTCGAAGGAGGAAAAATTAAGGAAACGGGCCCAAGGAGAGAAATTCATACATGGTAGATAAAAGAAAATGAGAATTGGCATTGTGACAGTGAATTTTTTAGTCCCTCTCAGCTGTACTTATCATCAAACCCCACACCATGGTTGACACAGTGCTCCAAACATTGTGAGGTTGCCTGAGTATTGGACTGGGCACAGTCTGATTGTTATACTCCTAGCAAGCTCAGAGCGACAGACAATATTTCTGGACCTCGACACGAGCTTTGAAGGACATCCTGGCTATGACTACCGTTTTCTGTGTGCTGGTCATCTATAACAGTGTGACTAGCTACTCGAGACACCAGCATGAGTTGGGGTGGAGCGATTACATTTACCACTTGATTGCTCCCTGCCGCAATAAGCAGATATGTTCTGAGAGATTAACACAAAGCTATGTAGTCGTCAGATGAGAGCATAGGTTCCAGGTTTGCCTCCGGGAGATGCCCAGCGCCTCTTTTGCTCTAACTTTGATGGACTTCCTGCATATAAGCCAGGTCCCCTAAAATGCCATTGGTAATTGCTATTGGGCTACAAAAGGTGACCTGAAG